TTTAGATTTTGACATTTTGTATAATGTGAAGTTGTGAACTCAAAGTCAGTGTGAATTGAAAGTTAAAGGATAAAAAGATAGTAGTAAGTAGTAACTAATAAGGTATTGAGATTAATATATAATATTTATGTATAAGTAAAAGTAGTAAATTACTAGTCTTAATGAGTTATTGGTTTACCCAATTAATATTAAAAATCAATACCGGATCAATAACCCGATAATTTTTTTTAATAAAACCATTAAAAATTTGTTGACCCAATAACTCAATAATAATAAACCAATAACACTTTTTTCGGTTCGATTTTTGGACACTCCAAATGCCGTGACACCCCACCCATACACATAGATCCGCTCCGGTAATAACCCTCTTTACAAAAGTAGTTATTCTTACAGAAATTTTAATTAAATCAATTTGAAAAAAGAAAATATAATAATGTTTTCACGAAAAAAATTATAAGAATTTCCAATATTTTAATGAAAATCAGTTTCTCACCGTACATTTTTTCAATAAGTTGATTTGATTAAAAAATATAATTTATAACACATATTTTAAATATATTTTTGGTAATGCGTGCTTACTAAATAAACCCATCTTTTCTTACTTCTTTCACGTTAGGTGAAAACAACATGATAGTACAAGCAATAATATACAAACTTCTTGAACATGCCATTAAAATACTATATTCAAGCTTAGAAGAAAAAGGCAATTGCCTCACGCCTCTATTTTGAGTTAGCCTCGTTTTAAAAAAAAACAATAATCGGTTATAATTATTTAAAAATAAAATAAAATTAATAATATCTGTAAAATAAATAAACTTATTATATATAAGAAGAAGAATTATTAACAGTTAGACAAATTTAAAATACTATATTCAAAAAAATTAAATGAATTAATTTAGAATAAACTTTATAAAATAAATAAATTAAGACCTCCCTTGGAATTTGATTTTAGGCAATAGATATAGATATAATATAATGAGCCGCCCTGAATGGAGGGACCACAATTCGATCATCACTCCCAATATTTTCCTTGTGCACTAATCATCAACACTGTTATATAATGAGGTAAATGCACAAAGCCAACAGCAACTCATCATTTTATTTAAACACTTTTAGTTTCATTACCAAAATATGGAGATTTCTTCACAAATCAATTGCCATATTGTAGCTATGCCTTATCCAGGAAGAGGGCATATAAATCCTATGATGAATTTCTGTAAAATCATAGTCACTAAATATCCCAACATATTCATCACTTTCATTGTCACTGAAGAGTGGTATAGCTTAATCAGTTCAGAAAATTTACCAGAAAACATAAAATACGCCACGATCCCTAACGTCATTCCTTCGGAATTCGGCCGGGCTAAAGATTTTGTTGGATTTGTCAAAGCTACTTTAACTAAAATGGAAGGTCCGGTTGAGAAATTGATTGATGAACTGATGATGAAACCAAGTGTTATAGTGTACGATACGTATTTAAGTTGGGTCGTCGGATTGGGGAATCGGAGGAATATTCCGGTGGCTTCTTTTTTTACTATGTCGGCGACTATGTTCTCCATTGGTTATCACATGGATCTTCTTGCTCAGAATGCGCATCTTAGAGGCAATTTATCAGGTATTGTATTTTCTTCGAAGATTTAAGTTATATATACAGACACTTGCAAATGGAGTACATACTTACATGTTTTCACATCTAGATGATTGTGATTATTCATGACAGGAAAAATGCATGAGCAAGTTGACTATATACCTGGAATTCCTTCGATTCGCGTTTTAGATCTTCCTACATCATCTTATGATGGAAAGGGGCAAGAATTATTGGATATTACTATGGATGTCTTCTCTACAGTTTCTAAAGCACAATATCTTTTGTTCACTTCAGTCTACGAGCTCGAATCTTCTGTTATCAATGCTCTTAAGCAAAAGTTCCCGATCCCTGTCTATTCGATTGGTCCAGCAATACCTTACTTTACTAGCGAAAAAAATCCCTCCTCAACTACTTCAATCGATGAACCAGACTACATTAAGTGGTTAAATGCTCAACCAAATGGTTCTGTTTTGTACATTTCGCAAGGGAGCTTTCTCTCTGTCTCGCGTGATGAACTTGATGAGATCATAGCTGGTGTGCACGATAGTGGTGTTCGATTCTTTTGGGTGGCACGTGATGAAACTGTTCGATTTCAGAAATATGGATGTAGTGTAGGGCTTGTTGTGCCCTGGTGTGACCAATTGAAGGTGTTGTCACATCCTTCCATTGGTGGTTTTTGGTCACATTGTGGATGGAATTCGACTAAAGAAGCTGCATTCTCATGCCTTCCGATGCTGACTTTTCCGATAATTTGGGATCAAAAAACTAACAGTAAGCAAATTGTTGAAGATTGGAAAATTGGTTACAGGGTGAAAAAACATGACCAATGTTCGATAACGAGGGAAGAGATCTCTAGCTTGTTGAAATGGTTTATGGATTCTGGAAATGAGGAAGTGATGGAAACGAGGCGAAGAGCGGAAGAAATACAGAAAATCTGCCAGTTTTCCAATGCAAATGGAGGATCCTCTGAAATTAACATTGATGCTTTCATTAAGGATGTTTTGTTTCATAAATATAGTTGATGGCATGTTGCTCAGACTCTTTAAAAATTTCAACTCGTGTTGGATTCGCCAAAAATAGTGTATTTTTGGAGAATTCAACACAGATGCCCCATAAAAAATGCAGAGTCCGCCCAACTAAGGTTGATGCAGTGCTATATTGAACTTGTAAGGGAATATAATATTGATTTATGTTCATGAGATTATTGTAGGAAATTACTGAAGCTGTTTATTTTCTCTGTTTTATGCAGAAATTCTTTTTTTTATGGGAAAATGCATAAGTGCCCTCAGCCTATGCCCAAAATCCCTGAGACACACCTAACCTTTACTAAGGTCCTATTACCCCCGAACTTATTTTATATATAATTTTCTACCCCTTTTCGGCCTACGTGGCACTATCTTGTGGGTTCAGCGCGTGTTGACAATTTTTTCAAGGATAGTGCCACGTAGGCCGAAAAGGAATAGAAAATTAATTAAAAAATAAGTTCGAGGTAATAGGACCTTAGTAAAGGTTACGTGTGTCTCAGGGATTTTGGACACAGGCTGGAGATACTTATGCATTTTCCCTTTTTTTATTAACATCTTAGATCATTTGCTTTATGTCTTTTTAGAGAATGAAATATATTTGTGAGTTACTTTTGTTGTCAATTGTCAAGCTTTATGGTTGTTGCTCCAAGCCAAAGCTTAGATATCCAACCAAGAGCAGAGGATCAACCGTGTTTTCACTTTTCTATTATATAATATAATTAAAATCTCTGATCTTTCGATTGGTGGTATAGAGTAGAGGTGTTCAATTTATTATATAACATTTGATTTTGAATATTGGAGAAGTTCAAATTTCATATAGAAAGGTAAGATGTATTTTGGCTTGTTTGGTCAGAAGTGCTTGTTTCACACAAAAAAAAAGAAAGAGAGTATTTGACTACATAATGTTTGGTGTTCAACTTGGAGTGCGACTTTAATTTGGATTTAAATGGGAAGGTTTCATATTTGGGGTAAAATGCTCTCTAATAAAAGTGATTATGTACTTAGAGGGACACGAAACGCAAGACATGTGGTCAAGAATAAAAGAGTACTTACTACTCCATTGCAACCCTAATTGGATAGTTAAGTATCCTTCCACGATGAAGATGAAAAGAAAAAGAATTTGGGTTCGATGCACTTACAGTTTTTAACATGTAATAAATATTTTACAGTAAAATTATATAAGAAGTATATAAATAACTTTATTTAATAATTAATAAGTAGTTAATGGTAATTTGATAACCTATTATAAATAATAATTATTTTAATAAATATTTTATTATAATTAATTTAGTTATACTAATTATATTAACTTTATGTGAATAACACTCTTTTCTCATTCTTAAATCTTTCTAGAGGAGAAGAGTCATGATAATGAAAAATCAACCACGTCGGCTCCATGTTGAATGATCTTAATAGAAAGGTCAAAAAGAGTTTTAAGAAAAAGGAATTATTTAGTCAAATTAAATAATCAATTTTAAAAATTAATAAATCAAGCGAACAGGCATATTACTTAATTATTATAATAATTTACTTCATTAATTAATAGGCTAATTTGAAGCTAATCGAAATTAACTTTTTTTCTTAATAGATCAAAATTATCAACCATCTACCAAACCTTGTTTGGATGGTTGCTACCTGTTGACCGTGGTATTTATTGTATTGTATTATTAATTTAAGTATATCGATTGTTTTGATTATTATTTAAAATTTATTATATCGTATCGTTTAAATTCATTGTTAGTTAACGATAAAAAAGATCTATTTGGTGTAACGATCGATTTGGTGTAATCTCATCGTTACCTTAATTTTTTTCTTCTTATTTTGTCTTTATTATTATTTAATTATTTTATTTTAGGCTTTCCCAATTTTTTCATGATAGCTTTTACTTTGCAGTTTGTACTTTACTTTTTCTTATAGATTTATATTCAAATTATGAATATGTGACATTATGTAACGACAATACAATCTATCTAAATAATATATTTATTAAAACAATATAATATAATACAATAGGACACAAACATTATGAAACAATATGTACCAACTATTCAAACAAAATGTAAGGTAGTAAATTGATCGCTCCCTCCTTTTATTTTTCAACTTTACTAAAAATAGACATTCAATTTGAAAAATTAAAAAATAACTTATCACTTAATTCTTAATTATTTTTTAATTAAATATAGTCATTTTCAAAACATTAATTAATTATATTTTTAAAATTTAAAAATAAAATTATTATTTTATTTAATTGGATTGTTGTGGTAATAAATACTCAGAGAAAAAGTCAAGGTTACTGAATAATTTAGTTGAGCCGTGTGAACAAATTGATTTGGACACACGATTGAAATATTACATAAAATAAAAGAAAAAAGAAAAAATTAGTGTTCTTTTTCCTTTTCCAAATTAGATTAGGAAAGTCGACAGTTATTAGCAAAATTCCCAATTTTTTGGAACCCTAAACCTAACCGCAACTCTTCTTCCTCCTCAAACCCTCCCCAAAATCCCTCAATAAAAGCTTAAAGCTTTCTCTTTTCTTGATTTTACAGTTCTCTAAGATATTGAGCCGCTAATCCTTGTACAGAAAAGGAACCAAATTGACTACAACCCGTACCCGAACCCGACCCGAACGGGAAAGTACTGGAGCCCTAGTTTTCCCATCCATGGCCACCGATGCTTCGCCGAAGTTTCAACAACGGGACCTATTACCGGTGCCTCAACCACCCGATTACCATCCAGTGGTTGCCGTTTCGCCGGCACATGACGGACTCCATTTTTGGCAGTTTATGGTCGCCGGGTCAATTGCCGGTACGGTTGAACACATGGCGATGTTCCCTGTAGATACAATCAAAACCCAAATGCAAGCCCTAGGTACTTGTCCCTTAAGATCTGCCAGTATCCGTACGGCGCTTGGGGGAATTCTTAAATCCGAAGGTGTTGCTGGACTTTATCGTGGCATTGGAGCTATGGGACTCGGTGCTGGTCCAGCCCATGCTGTTTATTTCTCTGTTTATGAGAGTTGTAAGAAGAAATTTTCCGGTGGGAATCCTAATAATTCAGCTGCACATGCTATTTCGGGTGTTTGCGCTACAGTTGCAAGTGATGCAGTTTTTACACCGATGGATACGGTGAAGCAGAGGTTGCAGCTGAGTGAAAGCCCGTATAAGGGTGTATTGGATTGTGTAAAAAGGGTTTTGAAGGAAGAGGGGTTTAAGGCTTTTTATGCTTCGTATAAAACTACTGTCTTGATGAATGCCCCATATACAGCTGTGCATTTTGCTACGTATGAGGCGGCGAAACTGGGGTTGTCTGGTGTTTCGCCAGATAGTGCAAGTGATGAAAGTATAATAGTCCATGCCACTGCTGGGGCGGCAGCTGGAGCATTAGCGGCATTAGTTACAACGCCCCTTGATGTTGTCAAGACGCAATTACAATGCCAGGTATGCTTTCTGGCTTTATGGAAGGTATTTCTTTTATTGATTTGGGCTGGTTATCTGGGAATCTAGTTATTAACATTGTCACTCATAGTGGTATATATTGGTCTGGAATTAAAACACTATACTTTGAATTTTAACTATTAAGAACGGAGCCGGAAAAGGTCAGCAAAGTTTTATCTTGGGACTGGGGTTTTTGAGGATAAGGTTACATAACTTAAAAGCACAGAACTAGAGAAAAACAAAGAAGGAAGAAACCTACAAAATTCTACTCGGCTTCTTGGATATCCCGAGCTCTTGAGGCTGGCTTGTCCTGACTATTGAGGTTGGCTCAAGTTGGATTAACCTCTACCATAGGAGCAGTTGCTGAGTAGAAATTGGACCCAAGGTTATCTGTAACCTCTTTCTACTGCATATTCGTGTAACGTTCTTTGTAAAAGTTTGGATACCAAGAAGGTCTATTAAATTATTGGTGCTTACTCAATTAGGCAACAGGTCCATTAGCATTCACATCCTTTAAGGTCTTCTACACTTTATGGATGTTAATAAGTGATTAAGGACTTCTCTTTGATGGAAGAGAAATATTGCCTAATTGAGTTTTTAGTTGAATTCTATAGGGTTTGTCTTGTTAGGTTCTTTTATTTTCTGAAACAGCTGCTCTACCTTCACGAGGTAGTGGGAAGGTCGGGGTACATTCTCATCTATATCCAAGCCTTGGCGATAGAGTTTAAAAAAAACCCGACCTGAATGTATGAAGTTAGGAATAAATGAAACCTATTGTCTCTCCGTTGGAATTCGAACCTAAGACCTCATTATTCTCAACCCACTTCATTGACCACTAGGTCACACGTTTTTAAAACATCTCCATTTACTTTCTCTCCTAATATTCAAAAAACACAACCTGGAACAAACCTTCCAATCTGTTTCAACTAGTTGCTGCCCCTGCAGAACAACCAGCTATTAAGAAGCTCCTTAACACTTAACAATCAATACAAATATATTACCCCTCAACACTTGAAGTTCAAATATTGAAATTCATCTTTGCAAATACTCAAGGCCAAACCAGTATTTGCAAATATTGAGATAGTATTTATAGCGAGACGTGAATAGTTTCATTTGTTCCTTACTTCATACATTTAGGTCAAATGAGGATACTCATGCATTTTATCCTGTTTTACAGGAACTATTTATTTCACATAATCAAAGATGTATTATTCAAAACTTTGAAACTTATATTAAGGATGGTCTGGGGAACACTCTGGCTTTGTAAACGAAATCACATGTGGTCTTACTCAATGAGGAAGAAATTTTTATCTTCTGATCTTTACTTGCTCTTTTCTAGACCTGTACTTGCTGCAAGGCCAATTGGCTGTGATTTGTTATTTGCTCCGTTATGTTGGAAGTCTTGGTGTGCTTTAATTTCACCTGAAATGATAAATCTCGCTGGTTATCTTGAACAGCCATCACACGTGAACAAAATTGTGTGTTTTGGACCATATTAATTTCTCCCCTCTGCTAAGGGAATCAGTGCTTTTTTTAACTTGAACCAATTTGTCTCTCTAGTCTTAATGTAGCTCCTAATGTTGGGTCCTGTGCAGATGCATTTAAAATCTTGGAATTAGTCCAATTTTGTACCTTACAACAACTACGCCTCAATACCAAATAAGTTGGGTTCAGCTATACAAATCCCCGTCATTTAAAAATATTTAAAAAGAATATGTCCGATGTTGTTTTGTATTTTGCTCTTAGATTGCTGAGTTCCGTTTAGTATTCCACAAAGGGTAGGTTGTCCTTAATCTAAAGTGAGGCATTTGCTAAATTACATTACTCATTTAATCTTTAATGTGTTGGTGCAGGGTATCTGTGGCTGTGATAGATTTAAATCTGGGTCAATTGGGGATGTCTTTCGGATAATTGTGAAGAAGGACGGATACAGAGGTCTTATGAGGGGATGGATGCCAAGGATGCTCTTCCATGCTCCTGCTGCTGCAATTTGCTGGTCTACATACGAAGCTGCCAAGGCCTTCTTCCAGGAGCACAACACTGTTAACAACAGTGTGACGGCCTGAATATATAGTAAGAAAGGGAACATTATCACTTATCTCCACGCCAAAAGAAAGAAAGAGAGAGAGAGAGAATTCTCTCTATTGTTGTATGCATACCATAATTTATGGTTGAGACAGAAATTCCACCTGATGTGGGTTCGAAGACGGAGAAACAAGAAGAGAGCATTCGCGTCTACCATCACGAAGTTATATTTTCATTTTTATTTAGGGTCTGTATAAATTTATGATAAGTTTGAATAAGTTGGTGAGATTGAGTCCTTGTTTTGATGATTTTTTCTCTTCATATCATGAAGAAATAGGATGAATCGGTTTAGAAAATTTTGGGTATTTAATTCATCACATGAGAATTGGTTATTGTAATCATTCTCTTTTCAAATGTTAGTTGGAACACCATCTTGATTCATCAACATTGCTTTTACTTATCTAGATCTTTCTATTATTTCTCTCACCCCCTCTGACTTTTTGATAGCACCAAGGGTACTTTAATTAACAAATAAGTCGTCCTCTCTTTCTTGGTTATACATGCATGACTAGCGTAACAATAAATGATTTAGGATATGAAGAATTTGAACAATGTGGTTTGACAAAATAAGATAAACAAACCCAAGTGTGAAACGATAAATTTTAGATAAGAAATATTAACATTGTTTCTATATCTTAGATCAACAAGCAAGGAAAAGAAAATTTTAATTTATTTCAGTAATAAGTATTGGAGCATAGACAAACAGGCACCAGTGGTCTAGTGGTAGAATAGTACCCTGCCACGGTACAGACCCGGGTTCGATTCCCGGCTGGTGCAGTCTTTTTGCACTGATCTTTCCATATGACTACCATTTCTCAAAATATATATATTTTTTAATATTGTAATCCTGAACCATATATATATATATTAAAAAAATCGTAATATCATAATGCTGAACCATTTTTAAAAAATAATAATATCGTAATCCCAAACCATATATATATATTTTTTTTTTTAAAATATTGCTAATCGTGAACCAGTATTGAAAGAGGAATTTCACGTTTGAAAATATTTATAACTGATGCAAATACTAAAAAGTCCATACAAGACTAGAAAAGTAAAGAGGGAGTGTCCATTTGAGACAATTGACATATGATGCAATTTTTCTTACCTCAGTTTATATATTTCTTGACTCTGATACCTTCAACAGTGCATTATATAGCTAAACATTTTGTTTGATACCAAAAAAAATAATAATTCAAAGTATACTGTAATTCAAATAGCTATAGATTTCTGTTCAAACGTCTAACGTTTTATGAGAATGGCTAAAATGTACGCGTAACGCATGATTGTTAACTACCAGTCTACCAGTGCTTTGGATTTGCTATATACTGACGAACACAATGTATTTCTGACTAGTATTTAAATTACAGCGGATCACTATACACAATTTATACAAAGAGAATACAAGGAGCCAGCTTTCAATTTACAGTTCCCTGTTTTCTGGAACGGTTGAAATCACTCTCATTCACCAATTCACATGACCATTTGTACAAGACGAAAGCCCCGTGTTGTATTATTCTCACTTGACAAAAACAGGAACTGAACCATCGCTATGGTGAAAATAGAAAGATAAGAGTCTGTAGACACAAAAAAGAAGAAGGTGAAATGATGCATCACAATTCACAAATATCACAAAATTGATCCTAAGATGAGTAAATTTTTGAGTTTGCAGAGAACGTGCTAACAATATATATTGTATGATATACTTATAAGGTTATAAGTTCTTAAAGAAAATGTTTTGGGGGTTGAGAAAAGAGAACTCAGAAATCCTACATGTATATTTTCTTTCTCGGCGAACACTTGCCAAACAAACACTCCCAAGAACAAAAGGGAAAATTATAACAAGTTCATTTAAAGAGAAGGAAACTCAAGGATTTTATGAAATTCTTAACGTTTCTCTTTTAAACAAAACATCCTCATCGCACCTATCCCAACGAAAAGTATTTGCAAATCAGTTTAACCATTCAAAATCATGAAATGCAAACAAAAATAAAGTGAAAGTACTTATAATGATATAAAGTGAAACATCGAACCAAATGAAGAATGGAAGTTCTTCTCAGCATACCTTGGGGTTTCTATGATATCTACGTGTAATCAGCGACCTGAAGTTCATTGGACCGATCCCTGGTGCTCCTTATGGCCCTAGCTTTATTATCTCTTATTTCTAGTACCTGATAAAAGACAACCGAAGGGCAAAGACTCCAAGCATAAGAGGGTGCATGAGCCGTACAAGTAAGCTAGCAAACATGACTATAAGTTGAAAATAAATTAAGAAGATAGTCGCCTCTTAACAGAGTGAGTTGTACATATAATATTGGAATTATAATAGTACATGAGCCAGAAAGGAAATCACCTCAGGGCTTGAGTCAAGTACTCCTCTAGACATTCCTACGTCAATTCGCCATATTCTACAGTTGTATTTACTGCAGGGAAAACCAGAATTAATCAAGAAACGAGTAGTAATCATTGGTTTTAGTAATTAGGTATGTCTAATACAAAGTGTCTATCTTAGTATTGCTTTTGGAAAAATAACAAATCGTATCAAGATCCTCTACCAATTTACTCCCATCGGTTGAGGAGTATGTCCTACAACCATAGCTTTGGCGCCCACACTTTGTAGTGTCTCTTCAAGAAGATATTGTACCTGATTGTAAAGGAGAAAATCATTAAGTTACAGATTAGCATCACTTGATATAACTATGTTACATTAAGATAAGAAACTAAACATAACTGATTTCAACACAGGAAAGAACAATAGGCAATAAACCAGAAAATACAACTCTGAAAAGAGCTGACTGAGAAACAATTTCCATCGATTCAGGATGAAAACGAGATAAGTCCACATGATATGAGAGGACAGCTTGTTGTATGTGCACAGAAGGAGCTGCATATAACCTGCTCAAGCTGGTAGTTTTCCAGCTCCGGGCCATCTCTGGAGTACAAACGGTTCCACACAATACTGTCATAGCCCCTGGTGGCTGTGAAAGGGATCTGTGGAGAATTGTCTTCTTCACTCGGACCTTTCATCCATCGAGAAACTTCTCTATTCAGCCTCTCTAAGCCATAGGCAACTGCAATAGCATTAATAATCATATAAGAAAATCAATTTACATGTATCCTAGAAAACCAGAAAACCGGGCAGCTGATTAGCTTATTACCATGATGAGGAAGAAGGCCACCATGACAGAAAAGCCAATCATCAACCTTAAGAACTACACCGTGTCGTGCCAACTCACATGCCAATGGACCCCCGGGTCTCATCAGGATTGATCTTGCAATTACACCCTTTTGCCGCTGTCCTAATATTTGGACGACTTAATAAGCATAGAAAATATCAAGCACCAAAGCACATGGAAAAAACAGCAAATGTTTCTTATGAGCGGAAAGTTAAAAAAGGAAACTCTCTCAAGTATCTGCTTAAAAATTATACAGGTATCACTTTAAGGGCTTTTTTTTCGTCAACCCACTGAATGCAATTGGACTGCTCGCTAAATTCAATACTTGTGTAAATGGTTATGTTTCGGTAATAAGGTAATTTGCTGTTTACCTATAGTAAAATGTTTTTTTTTATAAGTCAACACTAATATGCTTCTTATGCCAATATATTTGTTTGTCCAGCCATTCAAAGTAACTCCGAAACCTCCAATCAGCAAATGAGATGAAGACTAGATTTGAAAGGAACACACCTTCACCAAATTCCACTGAGCCCAATAATTTTGAGACACCTTCCGATCCTGTTTCCATCTGGCAGACACAGCACACCAACTGACAAAAGCCTCTTCCCAGTTGCGTTCACATTTATCCAAGTATTCCAGAAAGTCTATACACTCGTCAAGTGCCCCATTATCAACATATCTGTAGTCTCCTTCGACATTCATAGTTTCATGATTTCCATTGACCTATAATAAATAATAATCATTCATGACATGAAGCACACATAAGGTTAACAGCAAATCATCATTCAAGTCTCCAAAATAGTCATTAAATTGCACAGTATAAAAGCTACATTTACCCAGCTGTAACAATAAAGATAAGAGAGATTAGTTGTCAGCATATTGCCAAGATACTTGTAGAATATGGCTGAACACACACAGACCTGGAAAACTGCCCCACCATGGGCTTTTGCCTGGATATCTAATGACTTTAACAAAGATAAAATTGCAAGTTCGTCTTCACCTCGATCAAGTATATCTCCGAGCTGAACCAAAACCTGGTAAAGAGAACCATGTAATGTTTCTATACACTAATCAATGAGTTGATAAATCTCAATTACAGTAGAATGCCATTTATAACTTTCAAGCTAGAATGTGATCGCAAATTTAAAAGCTTACCGTCTCACCACCAATCCACAAACTTTGACCATCAGAACTCAGCACACCAGCCGTCTCAAGTGCACATCTTGCCTTATCAAGATCTCCATGCAAATCTCCAACTAAAACAAAAATCAGACCAATCAAATATGCAAAAGGTTAGGGAGAAGAGCACTCTAATCATAACCCGAGTAGCCTAACTTTCTCTATATGAGGAGGAAATCCTCTCTTTTTTCTCCCCTATTCAATTGTGTATTTTCAATTCATCATTTCACTACTATCTCTCTCTCTCACGCGCACACACAACTTGTTTAGGACTGAGGCATGGTTTAGTTAGTTAGGAGATAATATATGGAACTAATAAGCCTTCCAATCAAATTCATGAGCTTAATAGCTAAAAATTGCTATGATACAATTGACAAAGAAATTCTCCAAATATCTCCAACAAAAGTTCCAGCCTGTTGCACTGCTGTCTATTTTTTGGCTTCATTTATGTAAGAGTTAAGGGTCAAAAACACACCTAAACTATTCCAATTTTTTTAGTTTCATACTTGAACAATTGAGACTTGAGAGTGTGAGCTTACAGCGAAACACAGCTTGACTAATTTCTAATGATGTGTGTACTACCCTCTCTCTTTTTTTTAAAAATTCTGCCATGTAGCACTCCAGTCTCCAGGTAGAAAAACAATTCCATCTTGGAAAATTAAAATAAACTAACATAAGGTTAAAAGCTAAAACTATCACCATATAAGTCAATTTATTTCGATCTTGACATCCACGTCTTCTTCTCCACCTTCTTAGTCGTGGTCTCATCTTTGTCATGGCATCGATATCTCCAGCTTGGAAGGGGAGAGTTTAGGGTTTTACAGAAATCAATTAAAAAAATTAATGTTAGTTAATAGAACATGGCAGGTGGACAGAGATTTTAGAAACAAAGGTGCCTAAAGCATTTCTAGACAAACATTTGGTCTAGTCAATGTCTAATTGTGTTTCGCTAACCATTGGGATAGCTTAGACCATTTTAAATCTTTATGTATCTCTAGTGATTGGTTGGGTCCATTGGAAATAAAGTGTACATACATCCTAAACTCCCAAACCCCGCTTATAGGATTACACTGGGTGTGTTGTTATTGTTATTGTTGCATATTGATTGGTTTTTGCATTATCAATCTCATCCCCAAAAAGGGAACAAAGGGGTTAGGTAGCATGTGGTTCAATTTTTGCAACAACCCACAATTCCCAATTGGAACTATTTCTATATATTCTAATATAGTAAAACATTAAAACACGCACTCTACCCAGATAATACGCTTTGAAAACCCAGAAAGCAAAAGGGAAACGAACCTGCTACAATTCTGCGACCGGGAGCAGAGACGAAAGTGGGCGGATCCCCATCAACTACAATGGGCTTTAAGCTACCATTACTAGATGTGGTGCTGCTACTGCTATACTGAAATGGAGTTGAAACAATTGAATCAATTAATTTGCGTGATTGTGATTGTGAAGAAGAAGGTGGTTGAAGGGGCAAAGAACATGTTAACGAAAGAGTAGCCATGATTTTAGGAATACTTTTTTCTGTTTCTCACTGCAAATATCAAACCAAAAAAGTGGAGCTGTTTTAGCCACGTTTGCTGTATCAATTGCCTTTTTAACTACGTATCTCCCTTTAAGAGAAAAAAGAAAAAAAGAAAAATAGGGTTGTTTTGAATAATAATAATTTGATAAAAGGTACTAATAGTAAATTACTTCAAAACTTTTTTTTTAATATGGAGTAATAAATTTGAATCGATTAATTGAAATTGGGATTAAGTAATATTGAAGCCTTAAAAAGTTTTTGATAATACAATCGTTTCAGTTTTCAAATAAATATTTTTTTCTGTTATTTTCAGCAATATATATTTATATTGTATTATGCGTTCCATGTTTGATGTTTGTAACTTTTCTTGTGTAGTTGGTGTTTACTACCTCCATTTTTGGATTTGTTTTTGTTGTTTTGACATGACACCAAATTCAAGAAAGTAAGAAACATCAAAAGATTTTTGTGGTCTTAAACTAAAGATATGTATAATATATTTGAATGCCCTTTAATTTTGTGGTATTAAATATTGGGAAAATTGTATATAATAGCAAACTATTAATTCAAATTAAATGCTATAAATATAGTTTGATTTAATTGTACCCCATAGCAAACTATTGCTATTTAACCTCTCTCCTGGTGAATCTCGCTCGCCACTCTCGTTCTCTCCCTCGCCTCTCTCGTTTTTTATACAAACGCAAGTGTATAAAGTGCGTTTGTGTTTGTATAAAGCGAGAGAAAATTGTATAAATACATATATTTTTGTTCCCCTCTCCCAGATCTCGCTCGCCACTCTCCCAGATCTCGCTCTCTCACTCGCCTCTCTCACTTTATACAAAAACCACAAATTGTATAAAATGCGTTTGTGTTTGTATAAAGCGAGAGAAAATTGTATATATACATATATTTTCGTTCCCCTCTCTCCCCTCTCCTAGATCTCACTCACCACTCTCCCAGATCTCGCTCTCTCACTTCCCTCTCTCACTTAATACAAAAAGGCAAATGTATAAAATGCGTGAAAATTGTATATATACATATATTTTCGTTCTCCTCTCTCCCCTCTCCCAGATCTCACTCGCCACTCTCCCAGATCTCGCTCGCTCACTCGCCTCTCTCACTTTATACAATTGATCTTTTTGTATATGTATACCAAAACAGATTATACAACTGCTTTCTTTTGTATATGTATAGCGAAATATACATATTTATGTTTGCTATGGAGCGCAATTATGCAAAGTTTGCTATAACATACAACTATGAATTTTGTGTTTGATATATGTGAAGTTGCTCTTAAATATTTCACGGAGAGAGTTGGACTCTGAAGAGTTGCCAAAAAAAGATAAAAGAGACATTCTTTTTTAAATGGAGTAAAAAAAGAAAGTAAGACAGGGAGCATTTGTTTTTGGAGATTTGATGATTTTAGTCTAAAGAAGATTGTTTTGAGAGCTAGAAGTAGTAAGCCCGGTTTGATTTGGACTGCTACTTCAGTTACATCTCATATCTATATAGTTGTATCATTTGAATAATTGTTTAGTTTTTTCTTGCGCATTTTTTTTTTGTTAGTTGCTGTGTTACTTTCCTTTTAGATTGAATAACAACATTTTGAAGTAAATTGTTATGAGAAATAGAGTATTGATGCCCTTGTTTATATAAAAAAAAAAATTACATCAGGATTTCACATTTGGATTTTCTTGATAAGGATCATTCACAATATATAGTATAGTCAAACCTTTCTATAACATTGTAGTATGTTTTGGCTGCTATAGTGAAATGGTATTATAGATAACATAACATGAAAGATCGAGTCCACAAAAAACATGGTTGTTATAGTGAAATATTGTTATAGAGAATTATTGTTATATATAGAGGTCTGCCTGTACTTGGTACCCTTATCATATTTTCTAGTTTTTCTGTTTTTTATGCATCTCTTGATCATAATTTGTTACCAGCACTTATCTAGGAGATTGAATTAATAGTTGTAGATTTAATAGCGATTAACACTGAGGAAAAAAAAAAAGTTAACTTGTGAGTATTCATGGTTACTCCAGAGTTACAAGATCAGGAAATGCAAAATTGAATGGATACAGAAATAAGTCGAATTATCCATCGAGTTTAGAAGGCTGTGATTGGTCCAAAGGGCGGGTCACAGACGGATTTCTCGGTTATCAAAAAAAAAGAAATAAGTCGAAAAAATATTCAAAAGAGATGAAAAGAAGAAAGAAAGAAGGGAAGGAAATTGAGCTAAAACAGGCTTCTTTTTTCACTGATAAAGGAAGCTGAGCTGAACTTAATCAGTTTCTTCTTCTGAGTTTGAATTATCCAGAGTACGCCAAGAGATAAGGCTGTCTATGGAGTTCGAAAGCATGTTCATAACGTCTTTTTGTTATACATCAGTCTTGGCTTTCATTGAAAAGTAAAACTATGAAACCAGAAGACAAATCAAGTGATCGGAGAAATGATTATTAAGTGCAAATCACATGCAAAAACGTGCATCTGACAATATTTTACTTTTCTTTTCATCAAATTCTGATATGACAGTTCAACAAAGAAAGGCATGTAATGAAGCAGTGATTAACAATGAAACATGAACTCGTGATCTTTAACAATAAATGAAAAAAGAGATGGATTGTTAGTACAACTTGTTTTGCAAATTTAGATGTAGGATCTGGAAAGTATGGAAAATTTGAAAGCAATTCCATGCTTATTGTTTAATATGCTGTTCTTTGAAAGTTAGAATGAATATCTACAGTCGTTCTTCCTCATCGTTGTGCAAAGAACTGTCAAATCTAAGTTTAAGTAATGAGAATCTTGACTGCTCTTTAGTTGCTTGTTATCATTAGAGCACAATGAAGTCCAATATGAGATCTTATGCTAATGCTGTTTTCCCTTTTTTGCCACTGTTTTGTAGTTGTTATCAATTTTTTGATGAGCCTTTCATAAACCAGTTAGATCTTATATTTACATTTTGATAATGGTTCTTGTGTAATTAAATTCTAAGTTTTGCTTGTAAAAGGATTCCCTGTGCATAAACCTCCAACTCAATCAATTTTCAGGAAAAAGGTGGCTGCTTATGCAAAGCACTTTGTTGGTGATGGGGGCACAACTAAGGGTGTTAATGAGAATAACACTGTGACTAACATGCATGAGTTGCTGAGTATCCACATGCCTGCCTACGACGACTCAATTATCAAAGGCGTTGCTTCGATTATTCTAGCTGGAATGGCAGAAAGATGCATGCTGACCATGATCTAGTTATTGGTTTTCTTAAGGGTACACTCAAGTTCAAGTTAATGTTCTAAAAAATTATATGAAAGATTAGATAAACCTCAGTGGTTAATTCGGAAGCTTGGTTAAAGGCAGCTAGTTATTACGCACATGGGAATTACAGAACTGTGGAATTAGCATCCTCCGAAATATATTTTTGATATTTCATGTGTTTGTATCATGCCAACTTGTTGTATCACTTATTGTTTCTCATGAAACATAAATTCCATAATTTGGAGGTGATTTCACTGATTGGTGTTTGATAATCTACCAGGGTTTTGTCATTTCAGATTGGCAAGGTATTGACAGACTTACCTCTCCACCTCATGCCAACTACACTTATTCAGTTGAGACTAGCATTCTAGCTGGTGTCGACATGGTAAGATGTTTTCCCTACACCAGTGTCAACATTCAACTAATTCTTAAAACTGATACTAGTACATCAGAGGGAGACAGAGAGAGCTGGAGAAAATTAATCTTCAGATGCATTGTGTTTGGGAAATGTTTTGGTGTTCAAGCTAAATCAGAAAATGTCAAATTGGTCATTTGCAGGTTATGGTCCCATATAATTTTACCGAGTTTATCAATGATCTGACTTACCTCGTCAAGAATAATTTTATCCCAACTGATCGGATTGATGATGCAGTGGAGAGGATTTTGTCAGTTAAATTTACCATGGGACTTTTTGAGAACCCCTACACTGATTTCAGCCTGATCAACGAGGTTGGGAACCAGGTAGGTCACTACTTTACACTTCAAGCCTCAGTTACAATGTTAGTGCATGCATTGTATATGGCCATTGTTTAGTTTGTTTTGGGCTAATCCTTGCCCCTGCTTGAAGGATGTGTAGTAGATATGGTGATCTCAAGACCCTTTCCACTTAACTACCATTTGGAGCCTATGTGTCCGTAGTTTTAGATGTATACGTTTTGAACTGTTTGAAATGTGAAATTCAGCTTTTGTGGTCCTGGTTTCCATTCAGGAACACAGAAACTTAGCAAGAGAAGCTGTGCGGAAATCTCTTGTGCTGCTGAAGAATGGGAAAACTGATAGTAACCCATTGTTACCTCTTCCTAAGAAAGTGTCTAGAATTTTGATTGCTGGTAGCCATGCTGATAACTTAGGTTATCAATGTGGTGGATGGACTATTACTTGGCAGGGTTTTAGTGGTAATGATGCTACAAGTGGTATGTTTTTTCTTCTGATGCGTTTCACAAGACCTCTAATACTACATGTAATGACTTACTATTAAATAGAAAATTTGTGAAATCACTTGACCTTATTATTTCTTGAATAATCTCCCCACCCACCACCCTAACAAGATAAAGGGAGAAAAGGAGAATGAGTATAGAAATTTCTCTCAGAAAATATAGTTGAACTGTGCACAAATCATTTGGAAAATGTTATAAACTCAAATATATTGGTAGTTCTATATAGGAAACTGCAGCAGGCTAAGTAACTACTGTCGTAATGCATAAATAACCATTTGCTATTTTCAGTTGGCTAGCATTGTAAGTTGAATGAACTTCATTTACAGGAACGTACTACCATCCTCGGTGCAATAAAGTCTGCAGTTGATCCAGGAACAGAAGTCATCTATGTTGAAAATCCTGACAGCAAGTATGCTACTTCTAGTGGCTTTGACTATGCTATTGTGGTTGTCGGTGAGCACACTTATGCTGAGAGTGCAGGAGACAGTCCTACTCTCACAATGGCAGATCCTGGACCTGATGTCATTAACTATGTTTGCCAATCCGTGAAGTGTGTTGTCATAGTCATATATATCTAGTCGACCACTCGTTCTTGAACCATATCTACTTTCAATTGATGCACTTGTAGCAGCCTGGAACTGAAGGTCAAGGTATCACTGATCTTCTATTTGGGGACTAGGGATTTACTGGAAAACTTCCAAGAACATGGTTCAGAACTGTAGATCAACTTCCAATGAACGTTGGTGATCCTTACTATGATCCATTGTTTCCCTTTGGATTTGGACTCACAACATAGCAAGGTAAATATCAATCACTCAGTCCAGATACTTAGCTTACTGCTGGTTAAACAAAATTTCACATTGGTGCCACTAAAGCATAAACACGAAAGTAATCATGTCTACAACAAATGTTGTTTCCTATCTGCTGCTTCTAAATTTATCAACATGATCCAGAATAGTATCACTAGATACTGATTCCTATAGATTTATGTTAGTGCTGCTGAAGTTCATTTAGACATAGTCGTCGATCAGTAATAATTTCTTTCTAATTTGTTGCCATCTTAGCTTGCACAGGCCATATGTTCTTGGTTTTGTATATCCAAAACATTCTATTGACTCTATTATAATTGTTAGAAATTTGAGGATTAGAAAGACTTGGCATTTATGTAGTAACTCATGCAGAATTATGTGTCCATGAAAAGGCTTTATGTAGTAGTTTAGAAAGACTTGGCATTTATGTATATTTTATGCCAATGTCAATGACAAAGAGTTTAATACTAAAATCAAATATTGACATTATCACGATCCAATTTTTGGATGTGGTGTGGTTGGATGAGTTATGTAATGTGCCCTCGATTTAAGTTTTAGGAGCAATTTACGTTCAAAGATTCAACGGTTCACAAGATTTTGCATTTCATACTAATGATTGTATTTCACTATGTTATTTTCGATGTGAGAATCAAGATATAGGTTGCCAAGAGTGATTTTTGTTTTAAAAAGCTGCGAAAGGTAAACTATCGTTTAATATTTCTTGGGGATTTTTTACTTAGCAGTTCGTTAATAAGTCATCACGTAGATGAGCGCACAACGGAAATAGGAGGGAGACACACAAAGAGGGGGAGGAAGTAACCCCCCCCCTTCCCACGGCTCCTCAATGTTTAAATCAATTTGTGGGTCATTATTCTTTGGAGATTTCGATAATAATTTATCTGCATGTTTATCTATAAAAATCTTGTTACAATTTTTTTTGATAAAGCTCAATGAATTTCTCGTGTAATCGTGGACAGCGAACACCCATGTATCCATGATTCAACTATTTCACGAAATTATTTAATCCATAAGAATGAAGGATGATGTATACAAAGAGCTGACGACTCACATTTACTACTAGGTGAAAAATAATTTTATATTGATATTGTTTTTTATTTGAGGAGATAATAAAACACAAGACCAATTACTTAAGTATTTATTTTCCAGTTTATTCCCTTTTTTTTGTGAAGATGAACAATAATAAAAACAAAGAAACAAAAGACAATTGAATATAAACCTATGGAAAATACATGAAGCCCGAAACCTAAATTTGGTCGAAGCGGAACAAGTACAACAGTCTTGTCTTCTTCAACAAGTTTTTGTTTTCTCTCCTGTATCCCATGTAAGTAAATCTGTGCAACTCTACATTACACTGCTATATATGTATATGTATATTCACAATTAGATTTCTAGGGTTTCTAGGTATCTTGGGTTTCTTCCTTTTTGGTTCCAAAAGTCTTGTACCTGTTCATGGATACACTTAATTCTTTGTTTATAACGTTGTCCTGCTTGGTAATTCGATAGATTGTTGGTTAATTTTTTTTGGGTCACTGTTTTCTTGAGATGTTTTTGCTTTTTAATTTTTGATGGGTCACTGTTTTCTTGAGATGTATTTTGCTTAATTTTTTATGGGTCACTGTTTTCTTGAGATGTTTTTTGCTTAATTTTTGATGGGTCACTGTTTTCTTGAGTTGTTTCTCGCTTAATTTTTTTAGGGGTCACTGCTTTCTTGAGATGTTTTTGCTTTCTCTCTAATTGCTATTGCATTATGTGTTAATGTTCTAATTCTCATGTGGACTGTTATGATTTTGGGAGCTATTGAAGTGTTTGGAGTGGTTTAGCTAGGGTTTAAACCCTTTTTGATTTGGGGATTTTATGGCAGTGATTATAACTCTTTTTCAATCAGTGTTTTTTTGTGTTAGCGCTCTAGTTCCCATTGTTACCTGGCTTACATTTGGTAATATCTGAACTAGCTCGTTTCTCTGGTCTACATGTATGAAATCTGTGATTGGTTTTGTTGTGTCAATGTTGACGTTCTATCTGGTTTGAATTACTGTTGCATTGTGAAAAATGTTTTCTAGTTGTCATTTATGCTCAGTTCTATTTTATGGTATTGCTGAAACTGGGTCATGGTGCCTGTCTTTTTGTACTAGTTTTCTGATGGGTTTTTCCTGTACTCCTAAGGGGTCATTTGGTATGAGGGATAAGGATTCATTTTATCCCCCGTTTGGTTAGGGGTATTAATTAGTCTCGGGATTATTTATCCCACCATTTATACAACAATGATGGGATAAGAAACCCCATATATACAGTGGAACAACTAAGCCCATGGGATAACTTCTTTTGGATGAAGAAAAGCCCATGGGATAACTTTGTCTATCCCACTGCCCATACCAAACAACCCTAAGTTCCTAGTCTATATGGTTTCTGAATTCTTTGGTAGTTTGGTAAAAGGACACTAGAGAAAGTGGAGTAAAGAGAGAAACAATGATTAGTTAATCTCTTTGAGCAGGGTCAAGGTGCGCAAGGTGTTATCATCAAAATGCCATTTGTTTCAAGTTTCAAAAAACCTATTGATTATTATCTAAGTTAGTCTATTAATGTTTATAGCGTGGCTTCTTTAGTTTGCTCAAATATTTGCTGCTGTTAACATATCTGTCTTAAGAGTGATTTGAAGCTAAGTTGTCCGGTCCAAATATTATTAAAAAAAACTATAGATTAATCCTTATGGTGAAAAAACTTTGCTTTATAAGAAACGGGCAAGTTGTAAGTAGCTGAGAGGAAGTTATTGACCTCCTTCCATGATTAAAAAAAATAGTTACCTTATATATAACCTGAGTTTACTTTGTTACTTGAGCTGGGTTTTTATTCTAAGAGCTGTAGGGAAAAAGTAGTTCTTTGTTTTCAGTGTTGAATGCAAAGTTTGTGTTCATGTTAGTGGTTTTGTTGTTTTCAATGTTAATTGTGATTTTCACTTTACAGCCCCTTGATGGTGCAGTTTGATGAGACTGTTTTGATGCAGGTGAATTCATTAAATTAAACCAATCACTTCCTTGGAAAGTAAAAGCAAGTCTGCTTGGTTGGTGTCATCCCCTTTTAGCCCTTTTTCCTCCTAGTTAGTGCTTGTCCCCTGCTACAATGGGAACACCAGAGACCTCTCGTGAACCTTGCCCTGACCGTATACTTGATGATGTTGGCGGAGCATTTGGTATGGGTGCTGTTGGAGGTTCAGCCTTCCACTTCTTAAAAGGCATTTACAACTCGCCAAAAGGTGAGCGCTTGATTGGTGGTACACAGGCAGTGCGCATGAATGCTCCTCGTATTGGTGGTAGTTTTGCTGTGTGGGGTGGCCTATTTTCCACCTTTGATTGTACAATGGTTTATCTCCGGCAGAAAGAAGATCCTTGGAACTCAATTATTGCTGGTGCAGCAACTGGTGGCTTTCTACAGATGCGGCAGGGACTAGGTGCTGCTTCTAGATCAGCAATGTTTGGTGGAGTTTTACTTGCATTGATAGAGGGAGCTGGAATCATGTTAAATAAAGTCATGAGTGCACCCCAGAATTTCCCACCCATGGATGAGCCACTACCAAATGTCCCTGGGGTGCCTGGATATCCACCTGGGCAGCTGCCTGGTCAACCAATGGGGCAGCTTCCTGGTCAAGCTCCAGTAAGTATTGATGGTATGATGACAGAATCTTCAGCGCCATCCTCTTCTTCCTCGACATCCTGGTTTGGAGGGCTTTTTGGAGGTGGAAAGAAAGAGGAGACAGCATCAAGCGGTGGTAGCAAGACCCAGGTTTTAGAGAGCTTTGATGCTCCTAGCCCACCTACCTTTGAATATAAATGAGTTTAAGAGATAGATTTAATTTTCTGGTTAGTTAGTGTTATTTTCTTTATTATTTGGACTCTTTATGTATTGTGAACAAGTATTGACTTCTAATCAGTGTGGCCAAGGTCTTGTTATGTTTCATGGATAAAGTAGTTTTCTGAATAAATGTCTTCCTTTGAAAACAATTATGTGCGCTCTATAGAAACTGCGCAAGAAAAGGGAATGAGCTCTTTTTATTGACTGCTTTGTAGAGCTATTATGTCCTGTTGTTAATTAGATGTGTTGTGATCTTGGTGTATTTGAATCTTGTAGGTTTTGAAATTCTTGAATTTATTGAAGAACTTGCAATATATCTTTGAAATAAACTTTTGTACCTGCGGAAAACTGTATTAATCTCCCAGATATGTCTCACTAACTATGACATCTTTTAGCTTATTGCTATTTTATGTGGGTGTAATAATAGGGAATTGTTATATGTGATGTGGGTTTGTTCTTTCTTAAAAATGGAGAAGAAGTTAGATAGCTAATTATACATTTCCTAAGGTAGTCCCTCTTGCTAGCACACTCTTGGGATGAAATGCAGGACCTCTTATCTAATGTGATATGGTTCCTATCTGCTAGCTGTTGTGCGGAACGCGAACCTCAAGTTCTCTCTATTGACATAACATATTCACAACTCATTATCACCTACTTCAGCAATGCATTTGTCCCTTTCTCTGACAAGGTACTTTAGGTCACTCAAAGGACAATTATGTACTTTCTGTTTCCACCTTGCTTCTGGTGGAAGCTGTAGATCTAGTAGCAGAGCCCTCAATTCTTAGCATATCAATTTTGATGCTAGAAAATGGATCTTAATGACATAGTGTAGGCATATTGGTCATCTACATTACTTGACATAAAGTTATATAGGTTTAGTGGTGTTAACTTTTGATTATTTTATGATCAGTTGGCCACTTTTTATGCCATCCTGAATGATAAACAGATGGAAAAATAATGTGGCATGTCTTTGGTTGTATGTGGGAACACTTGTTTTGGGCAGCATATGGAGATCCTTTTACTTTTTATTACATATGGAAAAATAATGTGGCATGTTTAATGTATCCAAACAAGGATGAAACCAATTTCAGTTGGCAATAGTAATGAAAAAACTTCGAAGCTTGGTGAATTTTAATTCAGTGTGCTCAACCCTACGCATGCAAACAGTGCACATACCTAGAGAACAAAAACATTAGATGCCTCCTTGAGCTAGGAGGATCAGCATGTGCTCTTGAGCCAAAGTGTGGAACAAAATTAGACCAGAATGACCACAGAGCAAGACCACACCCTTGGCATCAAACTCATTCACTAATGTCTTAATACATAATGTTTGCTTTCTTTCATTTGGAAGGAAGTGAAAACGTTAACTGTTCAATACTTCTATCTGATGCTGACAGAATCCAAGATTGTGACTAGTACATACATTGTCAAGTAAAATTCTTTTCTTGGTTGGTACTTGAACATTAATCATAGACAAATGAAAGCCTGATGGCTCACACTTGAGAAAACAACAAACAGATACACTAAGAACTGCTTAATTTTAAGACAATTTGCTACAATTTAAACATATTAGCATTGTGGTAGATCTGGTGGAGGTGGTTCCATTGTCTGTTTCTCTCCTATTCCATTTTCGACGATGAATGCCATACCTAGGCCCCATGCCAAATGAGAATCAATGTGGCAATGGAACAACCAAACTCCTGCAACATATCACATAAGTCAATCAAATTCTCAAAACAGGTACATAATTTTCAAACAAAAATATTTCTAGTGATGAAATCAGGTTCTTTACCTGGATTATCAGCCACGAAACGGATGACTGCCCATCCACCAACAGGAACATCGATTGTGTTCCTGACAGGCGGATCGATCAAGTTAAAGTTAGTAGAATCAATTTGAGGATTGAAGTTACCAAAACCTAGTCCAACGACCCAAAAATGATATCCGTGAAGATGTATAGGGTGATCCTCTGTTGAAAAAATAGCAGTATCTTGCAACACAATTTGTACATTAGAACCAAACTTGAGCTTGTACAGCTTTGTTCCAAATCTTGGTTGCCAAAGTCCTCGTGAAACATTACCCGTGTAGTCAAATTGCACCGGTGGAACAGGTGGGAAGTCCAATGTGTAAATCCCTGGAATGTTTTGGTAATAGGCCTGGAGCAATGAAGTTGTTCTAGGAAAAACAAATGAAATGTTGTTCATGCTAGCAGCAAATCGCGTATTATTAGGCCCTTGACATCTAGGGCCAGGGGTGCAATTCACTAAGCCTAGTCCAACAGTGAAAAATAAGTTCTCATCAATCTGATTGGGAACTCTATTATTGCTAGGGATGCTCCTCAATTGGTTAGCGAAAGCAGTTGCAGTGGCTGTATCATTGAAGGCTGGAAGTTGAGGCAATAAAGGCCTTGAATTCGCCCCCGAGTTGACATTTGTGTACTCAAGTATGGCAGTGGTAGTGGTGTTATCAAATTGCCCATTTCTGACTGTGGCATAGGCACGAGCTGCCATATAGTATCGGCCAGGGGCCTGATTAGCAGTGAGAATTACATTAGTTGTTTGTCCAGGTCCAACCATAATGACATTAGTTGTAAAAGGCTTGTTGTAAGTAGCATCAATACCCACAACTGTGAGCATGTGGTTTGCAACTGAGAAGAAAAGTTGTTGATTGAGTGCAGCGTTGATCACCCTCAGGAGAACTGATTCTCCCGGGTTCACCGAGTATTTCACAGTACCTGCATTACAATTCTGAATTAGTCGTTTCACGGATTATTTACACTATCAGTGTATATAAGTTAAATCGGTTATGTTTCATTTTCTTTTATGTAGTGAGGACCTTGTGTAGAGCATCTATACAGGTCACCAGGTTGACCATTAATAGTATATGCATCAGAATTATTAGGAGCTGCTCCAGTAAATTGTGCTTGTCTTTGTACTGCAATAATGTCTCTGTTCCACCATTCTCCTATACAAAATAAAAACATATATAGTCATAACGAATTCGGAGTGAAACAAAAATAGTACAAAACGTGTTTTTTCACTGTCAGTGTATATAAATTAAACCGAAAAGATAAAGAGAAAGAAGGATTACCAAGAAGAACAGGAAAATCTTTCTGGGGCAGTGAAAAAGGAAAATTAGAACCCTGTTTAGGTAAAATAACTAATGCACCATAAACAGTAGCTCTAAGCCATTTGCTGTGAGCATGCCACCACAATGTACCCTCTTGGTTTTCAATAGTAAATCTATATGTGTAAGATCCTCCTGGTCTTATTGGGCATTGTGTTACATACTCAGGCCCATCAGCCCATGGTGTTCGCATTTGACGAATTCCATGCCTGCATGAAAAATTTACAACAGTTTAAGTTCTATACATTGACATGCAAAAAAATACTTGTCGCTTATAAGGTAATTACCAATGGATGGTAACGTTGTAACGAGCTCTATTAACAACAGTAACAAACAATGTATCTCCATTTCGAACTGTCAAGGTTGGCCCTGGGAATTGTCCATTCACTGTAATTATATTCTTGGTTCTGCATAGCCTAGTTACACTAGTTTCTTGAACCTGTTAAAAAAAAAAGTGTTTCAGGACAATGTTGGAAATTTTTTTCTTAAGTTATAAAAAGAAAAGGTGAATGTATACTTACAATAAATTCATAGTAATGAAATTCTGCGTTAGCAAAAGTAGAGAGTAGTGATAGTATAACCACAATGAGACAACTTATACAAGTATCCATTTCTCTTCTTTTTTGCATTTGTTTGAGCCAATGCTTGAAAGTTGTAATGCTTTGATTAGAGGATTAATGAAGTGTTAATGCAATGATTAGAGGACTTGATGGAGTTGTCTATTTATAATGTTACAAGGATGGAATAACAAGGATTAGGAGGTAGATTAGTTTAAAGTCAAACAGGGATTTTGGAAAGTTTTAGGCAACTTAGTCCAACTAAATGGTGGATTTGGTACAACCACTTGCAATTATAATGTAACTTTGTTGTGTCTCTCTTGTAAATCAGTAAATTTAGTTATTAAAACGGTTTCTCTGTTTCTTTTTCTATTAAATTTTCAATGTTTCTTCAGTATCTCTTATTTACTTTTATCTTCCATTTCTAGGTAAAATCTTCTTGTATTTTTATATGTGAAGATGGTTAATCTTCCTTTTCATTAGCATTATAAGACAATTAAAACATCTAATTTAAGTATGAAGGGGAAAGTTTGTTCCAAACAATGAAGAAGATAAACCAATTACTAGAAACAGCACAATCCGAATGAGCATTTCTTCTAATAGTAAGTGTCAGTATTCAAATTCAAATTCAACTGTGTCACATAAATTGGGACAAAGATAGTATTTCACAGAACTGTGTCTGGTTAGTTTTTTAAAAAATACAGCTAGTTGAATAGGTTATTTAATTGTTTTGTTGCGGTTTGTGTAAAGTTCCGTTAGTTAGTATTCAATACGTACGACCAAACTCCTACTTGACCATGCCTCAAAAAACAGCTAAAAGTGACTAATACTCCTGTCGTCCACATTTACCTGTCCATATGAGGTAGTTGTAAGATAACAGATATAATATTTTTCCTAATAAATACTCAGGGAAAATAGAGTGAAAGGGTCAAAAACACACATAAAGTATGTCGGTTTTCAAGTTTCATATTTAAACTATCATGTGTGTGAGTTTCCTATCTGAACGATATGGTGATATTTCAAGTAGGAAAAGGGAACAATGGATAGTTCACTGTGTTTTGATAAATCGTTGGTTGGTGATTGTTCAAGTGGGAAACTCACACAACTGATATTAAACTCGATAAACTGTGATACATTAGGTGTTTTTTTCACCATTAACTCGGGAAAATATTTTATCTTCTAGCCTACAACAAGAAAAAAGAAAAAGAAGAGAAATCAGGAGGTGGTAGGATATTTAGTTGGATCATTTGGCTTTAATGAGACGTCTAAAGTTCGAGTTTTTGAGAATTGAGATATGATATTCCTTTGAAGTTAACGGTAGGATTTTTTTAGTTTCTTGCTATTAGATTTGAACTTATACTGCATTCCAAGCCATTTTCCAAAGTTGTGTAGAAATGGTAGGGGACTTGGAGATCACAAGTTATTAAGAACCATAGAGAAGAAGGACTTCAAGTTTTTGGTCAAGA